GAAAATAACAATGAGGAAGTAAATAATGAAGTTAAACAACAAACCTTTAGAATTAAAGCTAGAATTTTCATTTCCAAACTGGTAGTTATTTAAAACTTGGTTGAATCAATTTGCGCTACAAGAAGGTTTTGATTACAAGGTTAGAACTAGTGAAAAAGAAGAAAACATAATTAGGCAAGTTAAATATGTGTGTATAAAATCTGGTATATATAATTTCCAAGCAACAGTCAATCCAACTAAAAGACATAATAATGTATTTCAAAGAACAAAATACCAATGGAAATTAAATATTACATTTCTCAAGCCAGCATCTGAAGTAAGAATAAATTCTTTCAATAATAAACATAATCATCCGCTTATTTCTATAATTAAAGAGATTTTCTCTTGGTTTCGCAAGTTGACCCTAATATACTAGCTGATATCAAAAAATATGTAGTTAGAGGAAGAATGAATTCAAGTTCAATATATCCCTTATTTAAATATGATTATCTTAAATATCCCTTGTGCAAACATGATTTATACAATGCTATATATACCTTTAGATGAAAAAATAATTTAGGAGATTCTGATGCTTCATAAATGCTTCAAATATTAATAAACTAGAAAGAAGAAAACCTATTATAGATCGTAAAACCATGCTTGGAACCTGTATCTAGAAGATTAGCTTCATTATTTTGGATATTACCATCCCAAAGAACTTTATATGAGACTTTCCACTATATAGTAATAATGGATACTACCGCAAATACTAATCATTTTCAATTAATGCTTCTCATTATTACTGTTATTGATAATCATTTTAAGATACGAATTGTAGCTTGTGGTATAATTGAGGATGAAATATTAGATACATTCCAATAGGTTCTTAAGGAATTATTTAAAGAAACTGGTGTCATTCCAACAACAATTTTTACTAATAGCAATCTTGCTATGATAAGTGCGATCAAGAATATTTATCCTACTACAGTATAACCTCGATATAACGAATCTCGATATAACGATAACAAAGATTATTTCTAATTTTTGTGTTTAAATTAGCCGCGATATAACAAAATTACTAGTAAAGATTTGATATAATGAAGAAAATCTCTAGCTCCAGAGCTTTGTTATATCGAGGTTATACTGTACCAACCATTTTCTATGTATATTTCACATAGATTTGAATCTTAAAAAAATTTAAAACAAAAATTAGATTCCCAGTTTGATACATTTCGATCAGATTTTTACATTTGCTGTAATAGCTTATGTAAAGACCTTTTTGAGTGCCAATGGGCAAAATTAATAAATAATTATCCCATAGCTGCAAATTACTTAACAAAACTCTTTATAGCAACAAAGAATTATGGGACATAAGGGTGTGGTAACTTAGTGAAGTGGTTAAGTTGTCGCACCCCCAAGCGATATGTTAGCCAGGTAGGGGTTCAAAACCCACTAGCGACGAATTTCGAATATTTTACTTGTATGACAGCTACTGTCTTTCGACGATCGGTTGGAACGGGATCTCTGTAATCTTGGTAGTACCAACAAGATTGGAAGATCATAGGGCATTCGTGTAATATATGAGTTACACGAAATATTCTAGATCGTATTAATCTAAGGAACCGGAAAGATGGATGTCCGCTTGGCAAGACCCGAGTAAAGAGGTAGCATAGATTTTTGACGGTGCTACGTAAAAGATTGCTACCAGAGAACTAGCAAAAACTAAATAAGGACCGGTATATTGCAAGGCACCCTACCAACCAGACTGCCGGGACCGAGTCCGTCAGAACCGGAGGAAAAGGATCTGCTTAGTTGCAGATACCAGGGAAAAATCCCTTCCGGGCCATCTGGATTGATAGTTTGGGATAGTTAGGGATATGGTTGACAGTCTGTAAAGTGGGTACTGGGGTTTGGGTGAACTCTACAAGGGGTAGTAGGTAACTGTAGCGGCTTTGG